GATTCTATGATTCTATGATTCTAATAATTCCTGCCCCTACATTTGAAAATGTTTAAAAGTAATATGTAGCAGACATTTGGGTGAACCAGGTACAATAGATTTATACACAACTTTTGAAAAATCCACAAAAATTTGAAGTACTTGAAAGAACAAAAATACTCTCTTAATTACATGTTTTATTTAAGGCACATATTGCTCATTCTACGTTTGTTTCCTCCCTAGAGTCACTCCACTATTTTAGACAAGAAAGGAAGAATAAAACTAAGAAGCCCTAGTCATAAAATTGCTTGAAGTCCACCTGTAAAAAGTGTTGAAGGCTGGTATCTAGGTTAGCTGAAGGAGAGTCTGTTGTCTGAAAATGAAAAATTCAAATATTGTCATACAAAAGTACAACCAAAAGAAAGCTACATATCAAAGGACAAAGAAAACAGTATGAACAGTAGATGTAAGATGCATTGGAAGACAAAAAGTATTTATTGGATACAAATAGCTCCTCGGCACTTGCCAAGAAAGATAATAATAAATACTCAGCAACTGGAGGCTAGAGAGAGGATGGCATGCACCTCTCTTTGTCTGGGAATCATACTGCATGTATAATCATCTTTTGCCTGCTTGCTTATTTCTTAGCAGGATTTGGCTGCAAGAATCTGATTGCAACTAGAAAATGAGAGAAGAACACCAGTGAAACATGAGCGCTTTAAACAAGGGCATTTTCAACATGGTCTTGGAGGACACACATATCTTTTTTTATATTTCATTGGACCAGTCAGCTCATGGCCATCCAAGTGATTTAACGTTTCATGGCTTACAAAAATATAATTTTGTTTAGCAGTTATAAAAACCATAGAAATAAGGCTAGCAAGTTAGGTACAAGGTTTGCTACTGTTGTACAACAATACAAATGAAAAACAAAATCCTGAATGTACCGATTATACCTGAAAGCTGCACATAGATACGACACTACACTAGAGTCAACTTTACATAAAGCGATTTCATCCACAGTAAGAAATGATTGCTTTGACCTGTGATAATACCAGAAAGTTTTTAAGGGCTCAGAGTACATTTGAAGCCTGAAAGATCAGTAATTTTTAAACTTGTTCCTAAGACAAATTTATAATAAATGAAGAGGAGGAATTTAGGAGAAGATTTGAGCTCTCACTTAGCTATGCTTATTTCAGGCAATGACTGAGATGTTCCTGCTGCCATGTTTGCTGTTTGGAAGGTTATTAATCCCACTCTAAAATATTTCTTAACTTATTAATGAAAAGGAAGAAATCATAAAGATAACAAAAGATTTATTTTTTTGGACTGAGCACCTATCTATAGAGTTACTTATCGAAAGTCTCCAGCTCTAGGTGAGACTTCAAGTGTGTTATGTTGGGCATAACTGAAATAACTTGCATAACTTTTAGACTAACTTAAACGCATCAAAATTTAGATTGTCTATTTTACTGCAGTTGTAGGCATTTTGAAATCTACTGCCATTCCAATTTGCTAGTGGCCAGGTGGCTGCTGTGAGTAAACAATGCCACAGTCAGTGAGACTGGGGCCTGATGCCCTTTACCTATAACCCACTTTGAGAACCTCTTCTGAAAAGACACCAATGCAATACACATGAAAATATGTTTCATGAATAAGGAATCTGAATACTTTTTACATTTCAATAACATGCCAGAGCTAATAGTGCATAAATTGACTTCTATATTCATATGGTATCAGTCAGAAAAAATCTTGTCGTTATATGCCATTTTGTAAACAGAAAGATTTTATTAGTTTTGGTCTTGTTAGGATCTTATGACTACAATAACATAATAATTTCAAGTACTGATTATAGCAAAGCAAGAATTAATCTTTACTATCTATGCTTCAAACGAGCATAGATACTGCAATTACCTACTTTTTCAGTCTTTCACCTGGCTTATCTATGAAACTCTGGAAGTGTGATACTTTTAATTTAAAGTTAATCTCAATTTAAAATTAATTTAAAATTAATCTCAAAAATCCACAAAATAGCATTTTTTAAATCTTCCACTCATATTCAGCTCCTGAAAGATAAGATTTGAAATATCCCACGAAATCCAGCATTATAAAGATTAAGTGACAGGCATGCAAGGGCAAAAGAGATTGTCAAAGTGCAAAACAAACAAAAAACTTTTCTTCTGTTGTAAAGCTTCTTCTAGTTACTGTTCAAGCATTCCAGGCCAGTTGCAAAGTAGCAGCACTGCTACTGTCTCCAGTATTCCCCTCTTTCCTTGTGTTTATCGATTTGAGGTAAGTCTTCTGTATCACCTAGGGTGTAAATGACTGCAAAGTGCTTAGGATGTCACCCAAGACTGGAGACAACAGAGATGCTTCAATTTCTGAAAGGAAAGAGCAAGTCTAGCAGATATTATTGACCAAGGGTATTGAGACAGCTGGCCCATAGCCTGCCTCAAAATTTAACTGCTGAATAAAAAGCAGCAGCGACAGCAGCAGAGGACGCATAGGTTTAGAGTGACAGAAGCCATGGAAGGAAGCAAAACTAAGAGACAGCAACAGTAAGACAAAGTACATATAAACTTTTAATGAATTAACCTTACAAAAGACAATAGCTTCAAAACATTTGACACGTTTTTACAAAACTATTCCAGCATTGTTAGTTCTCTCTTCAGAAAGAATGCCAGCAAGCCACCCAACGTGTCCCTGGCTATGAGATGCAACTGTTGATCACATGTGTGAACAGAGTAAACTTATTTACAATTACTGTATACTTTAATACCAGATTAGTGGATGCCATTGGGGAGTGACTGTATTTTTCAGAAAATGCCATGCATCAGAAAATAGTATGCACCTCTAGCTTATTGCCTTTTTTCCTCACATTTGTCACCAACATCTTTTTTTAGTCCTTTCAGGATGAGTTGTCTCCTCCTAATTCCTATTACTCTTTTTCTTGTCTTTGAATAACAGTGCAAGTAGCAGTACAATCTTCCAGTCCTATAACGTACATGGCAACTGTCCTTGAACATAGGAATATCAAGGTGCAAAATGATGGCTCATGGGACTATTCTGCAGCCATATTAAAATAAGTGCCACATACCAGAAAATAGCACGCATGTTAAGGGCCAAAATGTAGTTAAAAGTGCGTGATACTTTCCTGAAAATATTGTATTGACGACATGTACAAACATCTTCAAGATGCCACATTCCCTTGTGAAAGGGATCTTGTCATTTCAGTATGCACAAAGTAGGTCTTCAATTCTCCTTTTCCTTTTACATTTATTATTCCTCTGCAAGTGCTCATGTACCCCAGTGTTTGCAGGACATTGTTTGTCTCCTCTGTAACCTGCAACAACAAAGTAATATGACCAGCACTGGTAACAGAGCAAAGCAGAATCTTATTCCAGAGTTTGAAGAAAACACATTCTGAACAATTATAAGGGTGTTGCTGTAGTGCTTGTAAGGCCTTTAAGGGTCTCAAGTGAGGTTTGAGCACCTGAGCTTTCAAATAGACTGTTGCTGAGTGCCCATTTTAGTCACTTACATCAAGTATCAAATCTGATATAACCATTTCTGGACCTAACAGAGGGTTCACAGATACACGAATGGCACTAGGGACAACACTCTTCCTCACACGGCATTTTTCTCAGCTTCGGAAGCTGTTTTTCTTTTCAGTAGACCAAAGCTTCCGCATCTTTTTGTGATTACTGAGACTGTGTGAATGATAGTAAGACATTAGCATTATCTGTCAGAGCTGCAGTTCCCACTTTCTCACATAACTGGTGGTGAATCAAGCTTTAGGCAGTTCTGACATTTTAGGTGAAAGCCTACTAGGACAGAGGTTCTTCAGCAGCATCAGTTGTCTCTGTTTCTTTGTGAAGCAAGCAGCTCTTTGTAGATGTCACTGCTTTGACATCCCTTCTGTTTTCAGTTTTGACCAAGAGTTGCTAACCTTACTTTTCCATTCTTTAGTTCTGAATAGCCTCAGTCATAGATCTGGAGTGCTCTCAATCACATGCTGCGATCCTGAAGCAGCATATTAGGCAGATACTTAAAATGTGATCTGTGACTATGGAATCACTGGCAAGTTAGTAAACTGAAGGTCTTTTGTATACAGGTCTATCTATCATCAATACAGATAATAATCTATAAAGATTATTAATCAGCATGGTTCATTAAAAGGGAAGTTTCCTGACTACTTTATGGATTTAACTGGATGTACAGCAGCTACTTTCCTTTATTTAGAAATAACTAACACATAAATAACATCAGGAGTGCCCTTCAGAGATCAGCGAGCTGGTATTTTACAGGTTTAGAAATTCATAGACTAGAAATGTGATTGCCTTCAAATCCTCTCTTAATCTAGGCATGCATTTCCAGGCAACCCATGACTTCCTCCATTGTATTCCTCTGTAAGGTCAAGACAAAGTTTTGATTCTTCTCCCGTTTTCCCCTGTATTTTTCTTCAATTCTTTCCAGCCCAAGGTCTAATTATTTTGAAATGTACAGGCATGCTGGTAGGTAATTTTCTTCTGTAGGCATCTTTAACTCAAAAACACAGATGTATTTAGTGAACAAATACATGATTTTTTTTTTAAAGTGTCAGACTCAAAGGATTAAAATAAATACTAGCACAAAACCAAGACTTACCTGTATTTTATCTAAGACACCAGTGCTGTCCATCCTGCTGGCTACATTTACTGTATTGCCCCAGATATCATATTGTGGTTTTTGAGCTCCAATTACTCCAGCTATTACAGGTCCATGGTTGATACCTGAAAAACATCAGAACTTAAAGATCCACCAAACAAGGACACACAGTCCATCTGGTAACATATCAAGTCAATTAACATGGTGCTTGGGCCATGCCGAATAGTGAGTATAACAACCAAGAAACTGTTCACAACTCTTTTGTCAATCATCTACAGCAGGAGGATGTTAGTTATAAAAATGCCAAAAGTTAGTTCATCTAATTTTAGTTTTACAGCTCCCTTCCATCCAGAGTAGATTTCATATTTTCAACCATTAGTATCCTGATGCTACTGCCTTTATTAGATAGCATGAGAAACTGTTCTGCCAATGACCAGGCCCAACAAGAATGATACAGCCAGCAGGAAGATGAACCAATACACAGGCTGTATTATAAGCAAAAACACTGTAACATGAACAACCGCCAGGGGTACAAACAAGTCAACCAGCTGGTACATAATTGTACACCACCCTCAACAATCCCACAAAAGACATGACTCAGCCCACAACAGGCGGTATAAAGAGTGAACCGAGGTTTCCCATAGTTGGCATCGAGGTTTCCCATAGTTGGCATGGGAAACAGCCAGACCAGCAAGTTAAATACATAAGAGAAAGGTGCCCACATGGCAACTCTCACCCGATCAGCCCGCGTTCACAAAAGTCTGAACAGACCAGGGCCCGGCTCCAGGGAGAGTCAGGAGGTCTGCCCTGAACCAGGAAGCTCTGTGGAGTGCACTCCACAGACAGACACTCCTGACTCCCTGCAAGTGGTCCCCCCCTTT